CTGGAAGTTAAGGAAGAGACACCCTCAGACTGTGTTGAAAAAGTCCATGACCTAATTGAAAATAAAATGAACATTGAAAATGCTAAAAAGTCAATAACATTACAACGTGCTCATAGAATCGGCAAGTACAATTCGAACAAAATAAGACAAATTGTCGCAAAATTTGCGTGCGATCCCGAAAAGGAGTTGGTACGTGTCAAAGCCATATGGTTTAAGCCAACAATATTCGAAAGAAGTTGTAGAGACCAGGAGGCACCTCGTCCCGATTATGCTTGAGGCGCGCTCTCAAGGCAAGGAAGCGTTCATCCGTATTGGCAAGCTTGACATCAACAGTGAATTATACAGGGAAAACAAAAGTGGAGCTACTCGTATTTAGGAAAATAGTGGGAGTGATGTAAAGTGTTTATTTTGGAATATCGAGGGACTAACCCAACATAAAATAGCATGCCCCGATTTTATAAGATTCATTGATAAGTATGATTTGATATTTTTAAACGAAACATGGACAAGTAAAAATTCTAAAATTAACTTAAATGGATATAAATTGTTTCACTCATACAGAAAATTCCAAAATAAAAGAGCGAAAAGAAATAGTGGAGGAATTTTGACATATGTTAAAAACTCAATCATTAAAGGAGTTAAATAAGTGAAAAATGACGTCGATTGTATACAGTGGTTCAAAACAGATGCATCATTTTTTAACATTGATAGCAATATGTATCTCTGTTCTACTTATATAGCCCCTGAAAACTCGCCTATACACACTATTTATGATTTTGATATATTCTCAAAAATTGAGGCTGATATTCGTTATTTCAAGGATAAAGGTCAGGTGTATGTATTGCACAAAATTGAGAAATACAAAAGCTAAACTAAGATTGTCTTCGCACCGTTTAAATATAGAGACTGGTAGACATAGAAACATTGTGAGATCGGAAAGAAAATGTACAGTTTGCAACCTAAACGACATAGAAGACGAATATCATTTTGTGTTAATGTGTCCTACTTCTGTCCTACAGAAAATTGTATATACCACGTTATTACTATAGGCATCCCAGTATGGTTTAATTTATTGATCTGTTAAATACATGAAATACAAATACTTTAAATAGATATTTTGTAATAAAGCATTTAGTATTAGAAATGAAAATATGAATAATGTATATGACAACTATGATAATATCAAATGTTAAATTTGTATGTTTGTATTTTCATTCTCGCTGTATTTAATGTATGCTGTATATTTGTGTAATGACGAGGAACTGTTATGTTCAAGTCATATTGAATAATAAAATCTGTTCTGTTCTGTTCATGAGAATTTTACAAAATTTAAAAATTGTATCAAAAGCAACTGTTAAGTGTAAAGTTGTTTTTCATTTCATATTTGAATTGAGGCAACATTTATATACTTTTATTAAACATTTTAATTTTCATATAAATGTTCAGTATGACGTTGGTGTCGGCTTTTGTTTCAACCTCTTGTCCGTTTTCTAAATAGATTCCCTTACGTGATACATGCAGATGTGGTTTTTATGCATTATTACTTCATTACTTGTATTAACGGCATTTCAAAAACTATACAAATATGTTTTCAGATATATATGCTCCCGTGATCTTCTCTTGTCCAAAAGATGTTTATGTGTTCGAGAACGAGGCTGTAAAATGGCTCGAACCAAATGCATCTGATAATGTTGGAATAGCTAGCAAATCTTGTACCAGTTTGAGGAACGGGACACGATTTCCTGTCGGAGATCACAGGATAACGTGTAACACACATGACTTTGATGATAACATGGCGTCTTGTAATTTCCGTGTTTCTGTAACCGGAAAAGGTAAGTGTTACATATTGAAGGACTTTCTGCTTGCTCAAAATGCTATCGTTTTTACATGAGCAAATTTTTTTTGATTATTAAGACGCGCCTTTCAAATAAGTTTTTCTCTCTTTACACAATTTTGTAAAACTATCAATTATGAGTCAATTATGAATGTTTCGGTAGATTTCGCCTGTTTCTGTTATCTTCTCGATGACCAAACCCCGGAATAATCAAGGCGACAAAATTAATCTCAAGCGTTTAAGCACTATGCTGTTTTTCCGACATTAATTCCAATAAAAACTCTTTGTAAATAAGGTTTGACTTTAATAAATAATTAAAAAGAAAAGCGTGAGTAAGAAATAGAGTTCAGCTGAGTTAGAAATATTCGAACAGAGGGATTTAATATATATAATATCTTGTGTTATAGGTTATATTTACTGAAGACATAAGATACTGTCATTTTAGTTGTGTAAGACCCTTTTCATTTTGAATTAAATGTAACCGGTACTATGTCGTGTTTCTAATAACACGGTATTTAGCGTGCGACTTCAACATTTTTATAAGTCATTTTAATATCATCAGAGTATGGGTCATATTGTTAGATACCGATTTAATCATCATTAATTCTAGATATTATGAAGGAACCAAAGCCCCGAATTTACTGTCCAACACACGTCATCCATGTAAATACCTCCTACTACACTAACATGACATTGTTAGATGACACCAAAACATCTGTAGCTGCATTCAATCACTTTGATGTTAATCTTCAGGTAATTATCTTATTGTATCTTTTAACCTATTAAACACATAAAAAGTTAGCAGGGACTTTTCCCAGAATTTTGGGAACATGACCTATACCCATATTATTGGGAAATTCAGCCGTGTTTTGTTGAAAATTGGGAAAAAATGCATGACTGAAATTTTGCAGTGATTACATTGATGCAAGCAATTGCTGACTATGATAGGATCTTCAGACATTAAAGCACTATTACAGTGAAGAAGCCCTTATTTGCAAATATTTTAGAATTTTTATTCAATATTTTCACATTGTAACTTTCAATTTGGAATTTGTTCCTGTGGATTGGGAAAATAATATACTATTTTCATGTGGGAATATGACACAATAACGGCTATAAAATAAGCTAAAAAATCACTGGTTAGCATTTGCCAACAGGCTTTTTTACCATTGGTAGCTCATTTTTTACTATCGGTAGCTCATTTTTATGCCCCCACAAAGTGGGGGCATATAGCGTTGCACTTGTCCGTCCGTCCGTACGTCTTTCAGTACAAACCAGAGCTACGTTATGGGGTTTGGTCCTTTGTTCTCATAACAATAGATGTCTATGATGTCATTCATTCCGTTTCTCTTGTGGGGTTATTCTTCTGCATTGTGGGGTTAAAAAGGACAAAAGAAATAACAAAAGAAAACCCCAAAATGTAGCTCTGGTAAGAACGTCCGTTCATCCGCACGTCCCGAAATCTTTTGAACGCAACCCCTCTTAAACCGGATGGCTGATTTTGCTTAAACTTCCAGGGATTAACAACCTTAATGTATATATGGTAGTAAAGGAAGAAAGTTTTGCTGCAACCAAATTTAACAGTATTTTTGACCCTTTGTTGTTTTTTTTCATATATACTATGTAGAAATTTTGTGAACACAACTCCTCTTAAACTGGATGGCAGATTTTGCTTCTAGGGATGAACAACCTTAATGTGTAGATGGTAGTAAAGGAAGCATATTTTTGCTGCGACCAAATTTGAACATGCTAATTGTCAGTGTATTAGCTTTAACATAACAGTTGTTTTCAAATATTATATAAGTTGACATTTTTGTAAATGTCAAAAAGTGCATTTTTTGCGTGCGGAAATATTTGAATATTTGCGAAAATATAATTTCTTGATTTAATACTGTTTTTAGGATTTCATTAATTAAACAGGTACATGTAAAAAAAATTAAGAAGAATATCTTAAAGATACTTGTTCAGCATTAATTTATAAACTTTTAAATCATTTAACACATTTCATGTCTTCACAATTGAAATAATTATTTTGGAGAAAAGTCTGAGTCTTTTAATCTAAAAATTTTCGTTTAAAAAGTTTTTTTGTTTCGCCCCATATAAACTGGAAAATTTTACATTAATCGAATAAAGGATAGCCCTGTCTTTTTAAGAAGAAAAACCTAGGGGTTTTTCCCTTTTTCTGGGAAACAAAAAAATTTTTGGGGTAACCAGGGGAAGGTCCTTAAACCCGGTAAACCCGGGATGTTTTTTAAATTAAAAATTTTTACTACTTCATGTTTAAATGTTAAAATTCTGCTTAACCCGGTGCTGGGGGGCGTGGAGGGGAAACTTGCAAAACAGGCTCAATAAAAACCGAAAAACATTTTAAATTTTGGGGTTTGGGTTTTTCTTTTATTCTGTTTTTACCCCTATTTTAAAGTTTTACTAAAAATTACATTTCCATTGAAGGTTTTTCCCATTTTGGAATGGAAAACCGCAAACGTTACCAGTAACACATCTGCGGAAAGAAAACCCCTTTCAGTTTAAAATTTTGGGAAACGTTCCCCTACATTGCGGTTCCATGTTTTTTCTTTAAATGTTTGAAAAATTCTTTTTTGTTTCACTTTTAGCTATCGAAGAAATTAAAATTAGAATAAATGAATGTAGGATATGTGGAAATTTAGTGATTAAAGTAAATGTATGAGAAGAAAATATCTCAATATTCATTGTCTACCTGTCATGTGAAGGGAGAAAAGTCAAAGCCTCAATAGGTCAAGACCATGTTTTCTTAAATGAAATAAGTTTTAATAACTTCTCTATTTATTTTTTATTCTTGTAAGGTCAAAGGTTTCATCAGAATGGAGCTAAAATGAATATATTTAAACTAAAAATAAGTATAAAAAAACTACATGAACTGAACTTCAAAATAAAGTTCCTACGCGGAAATTGAAACATTCGTTATATAATTAATGAATTAATTAGTTAATTAATGAATTAATTAATTCGTATTGTCAATTCTTTTTTCTGTAAAAAGGAAGTATGAAGGCAAGTTGCTAGACAGCTGATTAACTTTTATCTGAACTCAGTCTGTCCTTTTCATGAGAATTTTACAAAATTTAAAAGTTATATCATAAGCAACTGTTTTAACTATACAAATAAAGGCTATAACAACTATTGTTTTTAGATATATATGCTCCCGTGATCTTCTCTTGTCCAGAAGATGTTTATGTGTTCGAGAACGAGGCTGTAAAATGGCTCGAACCAAATGCATCTGATAATGTTGGAATAGCTAGCAAATCTTGTACCAGTTTGAGGAACGGGGCACGATTTCCTGTCGGAGATCACAGGATAACGTGTAACACACTTGACTTTGATGGTAACATGGCGTCTTGTAACTTCCATGTTTCTGTTACCAGAAAAGGTAAGTGTTACATATTGAAGGACTTTCTGCTTGCTCAAAAAGGCTATCGTTTTTACATGTATTAATTTCCTCGTTTATTGAGACGCGCCCTTCAAATAAGTTTTTTCTCTTTACACAATTTTGTCAAACTATCAGCCAAGACTGAATGCTTCGTTGGATTTCGCTTGTTTTTGTTATTACTCTTATTTCTTATTTACTGGGTGTTGCTTTTTCAAACTTTTTTCATCTTTCATGTACAACTTACAGTATGATGTCATTTTTTACATTTTTTTTCGCAAATTAAAACTCTATTTAAGTGACTAAATAATCATTGCTTGAACATGTGTTTTTTTATTAAAAGATGTGTCCGGTATAAACTTTATATTTTTAAGACACCCCATTGGAAGATATGCCTCAAGAAATAAGAGATCGATCGACTGGAGAGGTGCAAATGGTGCTACGTATTATATGTAAGTTGTAGGTTATTCACATGATACATCCTAAAATTTAAATTGAAAGAAATTGATTTTAGGTTTGTAGTGTTATTTATAATAATGTACACATAGATAATTTTGTTACTTAATTTATGATTATTGATTTATTATTGATTTATTATTATTATTATTATTATTATTATTATTATTATTATTGCTGTAAACAATTGTAATCATGAAATACAATTTCAACAGCATTGTAAAACATGTCAAAAATTGGGTAATTTATTGCCAATGAAATGATTTTATCTTTAAATATATTTTTGTAGTGCCTTCTATCTTTGGTACAATTGTCCTGGCAGTCTTGGCTCTGCTACTGCTGTTCCTATGCAGACGAAAATATCTGTTAGTCATGTCCAAGAAGAAACCTCCAAAACATCCGAAGACAAAAAAAAATTACGCAGAACCGGATGCTATCCGGTCAACAAAGTCATCGTTTAAATGCAAACGATCGTCCGTGTTGACATATTCCTCCTCCGTGTCACCCAGAGACTCTGTTGGACGCGCTTTAGCGTTTAAAAGCAACCCTTATGCGGTCCCAGGAGATATTGGTATCAGACCACCATCATACTCATCATATGAAGGTTACAGTCCATTCCCATACAGTGTTTCTGGTAGCGCGAAGGACACCACGCACATGCCTTTGCCCGTTCCAGCATACAATGATCCAAATTATGAAACCCTGAGCGTCCATATGTCGAGCGTGTCCGGGCGTTCCGCAAGATACGTCAAGGTCGAGTAAAGCAAATTCAACAAACTCATCACGAAGTCCAAACCCAGGAATAATCAAGGCGACAAAATTAATCTCCAGGGTTTAAGCACTATGCTTTTTTTTTACATTAATTCCAATAAGAGCTCTTTGTAAATATCGTTTGACTTTAATAAAATAATAAAAAAGAAAAGCGTGAGTAAGAAATAGAGTTCAACTGAAGTAGAAATAAATTAAAAGAGGGATTTATCATATATATCTTATAGTATAGGTTATATTTACTCAAGACATTAGATGCGGTCATTTTAGTTGTTTTTTGTTTACTATCTTATTTTAATAGCTTATAAGCTTTTATGTAAAACTTTTTATTTAGAATTTACTGTAACTGGTTCTATGATATTTGTCTTATAATTGCGCACAGAATGTTTAACTTCAATGAAATCCCAACCACCATTATTGTGTTATCTGTAAGGACTACATACAGTCAGTCGAACAATTTAGCATTTGGAATTCAGAATCTGAAGAATTTAAGTGACTGTTCAAAATTGAAAGTCTAGCAGATCCATTGCATACAGTTTGATTATTGATACTAGTAGTATGTTTGTATTGATAAATCATGCCTTAAAATGATGTCTTTTGTCGAATGTTTAAGGTCGTTGGCTTCAAACTACTTGCCCCTCATCGTCTTTGGTTAGAATCCAAACAGTAATAGAAAGTAATTAATCTAGCTAACGGAAAGTCGGTGGTTATGTTCAGGAGCCCGTTTGTGCATGAAGTAATGCACGAGGTCTTCCTCCACCAGTAAGGCTGGGAAGACGCCATGTGACATATACTGCATTTGGTGCGACGTGAAACCTAACAAACAAATGCGGTTAGATGTAACGAGTAAAATTGTCGAAAGCAACTGTTTAACTTCTGGTCTGGTTTTTATAAACAAAATGTATTGTGTATTAAGTTCTAGTTTTATCTGGGAAATCTTGTGTCATGGTGTTTGGCAAATCTTATATAATCCTTTTTAAAATTGATGATTTTTGTCAACATTTAAATGAAGTTTTATACCTGTAATATTTTTGGCGGCAGTAGTTTTCATAAGTGTACTTTGTTTACTTATATCATTTTGCTGTACATGGGTTTATAAACTTGTATATATATATATATTGTTATATATTGTTATCTGTTTGCTTCATAATAAATGTATTTAGGAATAAAAATAAAATGTCCGTTTCAGATTTCTTTCATTTTTATTTATATCAAGATAAATATTTTTTCATCTTTAACTTCTCATAAGCATTTAACCGGAAGCGATCAGCCTTTGCCACAAGTGAAGAGCCAGAAAAGCTCGAAAATATGTACACTTACCAATGAAAATCCTGCAATTTGAAACGGAAATAAAAAAAACAGTTTTGTAACCTCAAGGCCAGGCTCTGTACTGTTGGTAGCTCTGCTTTTGTAAATTTTGATATTGAAATCCATAAAACTTTAAATCCAGAGCAATACGAAAATGCTGCGGGATAAGGCTTAAAGAAATGGGATGCCAAAGTAATGATAATTTAGTTTTAATACCATATTCGGAATGACATAGCGTTCTTAGTATTTTTAACTACTATGTTTCTAGTCCACTTGCAAAATAGGTACAGAGAAATTCAACAAATCAGACACCTTTGAGAATTTCAAAATCATTCAATTTATTGACCAATACTAGAGCACAACAGTCTAACATACACTTCAAAAATGGTTGCAACATCGCCGTATTTGGTTAGTTAAGAGAATCTCACAGGCCATTTCATATATGAAATGCACGTTTTAAAAATAAGTAAACAATACGCTTTTATATTCATGGTTTTCTATGAGAACCATTCAAGCTCTGAAAATAATTTATGAAATATACCAGGAAGGAATGTACAGTTACACTTAGTATCGATGTAGAAAAACACATCAATAATAATACAATATATTAGGCACTTATTGAACATAAAAAACTAAGGGTACCGCACCTGATAAGTTCTTATCATTATTTTCGTTATTTTAGTAAAGATTCAAAACTCAGATCTTGTGTAAAATCAACACAGTTCTTACGTTAATTAAATTGTTCCCTGGAAAATGTAATGAGATCTGAATGCAGTTAAAATGTTTTGTGGGAGTAAGTATGGTAAATCAGAACTTAAATATCTGAGCAATTTAACAAGACAATTCTATCCTGTACATTCTATTCTAGAGCTTTCCTTTGCATTTTATTTTATAATGGCAAGAAATATCTTTTACACTTAAGTGTATAACTATCTAAGAATTTACATTGTATTTAAGAATGGCCGATGAGATTCCCAGAAATCAGGTTGTATTTTAGCATGACCAATGAAAACTCTTCATATAATTAGTTCTTCCTTTTACATTTCGAAGGCAGTCAAAGTGATTTAAGACCAGCCTTCTGCCGGAAAACTATCCATTAACTCAGTAAATTATTATGCCCCCACTTCGAAGAAGATGGGGTATATTGCTTTGGACTTGTCGGTCCATCGGTCCGTTGGTCCGTCCGTACACCAAAAAG